ATATTAATTATATATAATATATATATAATTTTATGTTTATATATATATATATAATTTTAAACACAATGCTGTACTATGAAGTGCACGTAGGCAATAGACATTGCAATGTTATTATCGCCTCTCAGTCGCCAGTTCGAGTTGCTGCATGAAATCAAGTGGCGAGTGAGAGTCGCCTCTCGAGTGCGAAGGGTTAACATTAATCATGTGTGTAATATAGTTTGAGAGAGAAATTCATTATAAGACAAATCTCGTCCCCTGACTGTTCTTTCTTGCCGTCGTAAGTATATAAACGAATTTTTGCAAAAGCCAAAATTTTCTTTCTTTCCCGACAATATCAACAGTGTACATAGTATATACAACGATCAGTAATAATACTAGGTTAGTAGTAATATTTTCGTGCAATCTTATGTATTGCATCAGCACTCGAATGCTCAGACGAGACTGAAATCGTCGTTTTCTTCCGTTCCATGACACAACTTATACAGCTCCAACTTCTTCCGGGTCGTAATTTTTCACTCTCTTGTTATACGCGATTATTTCCTGCACATGAAAAATTACTCCATTAAATTCGCCGTTATTCATTATTTGCCAGATTCAATTTCAATTTCGATGTAAACAACGTACTCTCTCGTATCGGGCTCTATCCTCTTCCGCGATGGCCATGTACTTGGACTTTGTCTGCAGATCCGTGCTCATCCACAATTTTCCTAATTCTTTTGCAATGTCACCCACTCCCATTTCAGGGTGCAACTCCCTCATCTTGCCCCGTAGCTCTTGGCAAAAGTAGAAAAATGCAGATCTACAATATATTGATACAAAAGTGTTATAAAAGTCAACGTTTACTAGACGAGTATTTCTCGTATCAATATATGACACTTGGATGCTACATATATATTCCGATTCCATCAAAGAAAATAGCTCTAATGATATCATCAACACCAGTTTATCCAAATGTAATGCTTCTCTTTCAAGAATGTTTTTAAAAAATGTTCAAGCATGAAATGCTTTGTGTGTATCTTTGAAGCAAAATTCTGTCTTTCAACGTACAATGCTCGTTTCGGCGCATCCTTGTCCCTGTATCTTTTCGTTCCTCTACGCGTCGGCCTCTCGGGCTCCTCGTGACCGGTGTAGTGTCTATCGTAGTAATACATTTTCTTAGTGTTGCAATGTGCATTACCATCCTCTAGATGTACAATCTGTAAAAATTCATTGTATGTTATATTCATTATAATTCATTAATTGCAAATGTTAACACATTTTAAAGATATAAATTACTAGACATGACTGTAATTTTAGTAACACAACATTCTCTTTTCCCTGATTTACTTGTATATATTTTTTTAAATTAAGCTTTTTATACAAGTTTAAATTTGTTGTTAACTTAAATGCTATCAAAGAGTCGCGTCGATCTTACCTCATTCTTTACAGGCACCGCATTGATGATGAAATTTTTACCCTGACCATTGGACCACTTGGCTTGATTGGTAGAAACACTAGACACATTAGGTTTCATCACATTTTCTCCGCCACACTCTACAAAGATACAAACATTACGATATGCAACCAAATTTACACAGCTGTTTTTACAAGTTATATTTACGATTAAATACCTTGTGTCATGTTAGCCTGACCAACAATCATAGTGTCTCCTCTCATACCAGAGTTTAAGGAGTTGTCACTGGTTTTTGTCAGATACACATTCTTCCTGTCTGATGATTCCATGACTGCAATCTCTCAATTACTCTTTCACGATTAAAGGGTTGCACAGCACAAGTTATTAATTATCTGCCAATATTGTAATATTCAATTATGGTATGCGCATTGTGTATTAAAATTTGTTCAATTTAACCTAAATAACACGCAAATTTTCAAAACAACATAAAACTTCTAGTTAGTGAAAGAGTATAATAAACATAAAAAATAGAAAATTTAAAACATTATATATTTAGAACAATTTTGGAAATATCAGTTTTTAATCGCCTTTATTAATATATTTTATTTTGATTTATCTCGTCGTAATTCGTTATTATTCTTGACGGACGTGTATTTGTTAAAATTGTTAATTCTTAGTGTCTGAACACTGTCATTTTAAACAAATCGAAGATAATTAAAGCAAATGGACTCTTGCCGAGTTTGCTCTATAGCTGCACTTTCTTACAATATTCTTATTTTTTTACTCCAATTTATTTCAAGTACAGAGAAAAAATACACAGCTAAATGAAATAGACGTATCACTTATTCACACAATATCCCTTCACTGCCTTCAAAATTCCAGTGTAACCATTTATTAGAACTTTTATATCTGTAAATATATTTTCGTAAAGGATACTCGCGTTGAACAATCACTTACCAGACGTGAACATGAACGCAACGCGAGCGGGAGCGGAAGCGGAAGACGATGACGACGACGACGGTGACGGCGGCGGCGGCGGCGACAGGTTTGCGATAATAAACGGATGATCTGTGAGGCAGGGGAAATCTACGAGGCACGTCGTGTAACTTCCGTAGAAAATTTCACGAGAACAACCAAGCTGTGTACATGGTGCCTACGATACAGCTATTGCATTTCGGGGTGGTGGAACATCGTGCACGGGAGCAACCGCAATGATCATCCGCCGCCTTTTGAGAAGAGACGCGACAGTTTGATCGTCTGTTTCGACTTTGCATGTGGCGTCGCGACGCGTCGCGGAGATAAGCACGAACGACACAATACGACGTCCGAAAAAGAAAAAAAGAAAAAACTGGAACCTGAGCGAATCAGATATGGCAGTTGCCGTGGCGTGACGTATATATTGTTACGGGCATGTATATACATGCATGCCTGCGCGCAGTTATTACATATACGCATACAACTCCTGCATGAATGTTATTCTCTTTACCTAGGAACTCGCTTATTCGCGCATTTTCACGGTGACTCTTCGTGCGACAGTGCCTACGATATCACGATGCTCGTCGTTGCTATGAATCTTCGTACGCCTACGTACGATCCGATTATTGTCGTGCAGAACAATCGACGCCGTTGTGTATTACAAACTTTAGCTATACTAGTATTCGACCATGTAAGATTCAGCACATAGTAATGCAACCTTGCTTCAATGGTGCTCTCAAACGGGCCGGGATGGGTGCGCATGCGCGGCCTACGCGCTCGTAGGGCGGTATTCGAATAGCGTTTTCGATTGAATGGATTTTGATCCATCGCGGATCAATTAATCACTATTTTACTATGAATTCAAGTCTTTTATCGGCGATGCAATGGCTGCGTTCAGCAGAACAACTGCTGAATTGTCGTCTAGTCAACACTTAACGTTGATTTGTTGGTTCTAAAAGTAAGAGCCAATCATGTTCGATTGCTACCAAGCGATTTGTTCTGCTGAACGCGCCCAATGACGTCATAAATCAATCATAAAAATTAATTATTATAATTTATTATTAAAATTAATTATTTATTATTAATTAGCTCGAAAACAATGCATTATCAAAAAGAATGTTTGAAATAAAAGTTGTAGAGTTTGGAGGGGGGCATCAGATGAGCTACCTAAATTTTGAGCCCGGGGCCCACTTTGAGCCCAATCAGGGCCAAGTTGATTTTTTTCAATGAACCTATTTTTTATTGCAGATTCGTATTCTACGGGAAAAAATAAGGACATTTTGTTCTTGGTCATTTTTCGCTAAATCCCCTCCAACAAGCCCAAAATGCCGATTTTGCCGGAGTCCCGTAAGGCCCAGATTGGATTTATCTGGATGAAAACCTGTATTTGAATTGAAGATTCGGGCTCAAAACAGTTTTCTGCGTGTAAAAGAACAGATTTGATATTGGGCCTGAGAACCTCTGTTGGGCCCAATAAGACCTTAGCCGGTTTTTCTAAATAAGATCGTCCATTCCTTCATCGCTGATTCGGATTTCGAACAGTACCTTGTTTCCCAAAAGACATATGCAAGTTTGTGTCCTGGCGCCCTGTGTTGGGCCTAGTTGGATTCAGTTTCATGAAATCCGTCATTTCTATCACTGATTTGCCTAAAACAATTGTTGTGCATTATGTGTGAAAACCTCATATCTACTATTTTTTATTTCGGATTTTATGGAACTGAAACCAACTCGATCTTACTAGGCCCAGCACAGGACGCCAGCGCACAAACATGCATATGTCTTTTGGGAAACTTCTTGAAGAGAGCCTTCCCATAAAGTACATTCTATAAATGCATCGCAAAAGCCCATTGATCTCTTTAACATGAAGTAGTGAGAATGGTTCCACTGTAAAAAGAGACAATTTAATATTGCCGGGGGGTATTTGTCTCATCCCCACCAATACACAAAGTAAATGTGGAAGGAGGATAGACACTTCCCGGCTACTATTGCTCTCCTTGTACCAAAAACTGCACATGGAAAGGCTCTCTCCAGTATGTTATAATAGCCCAATGCTACTACTCCGCCACAACAGTTTCAAAAGTTTCGAACTTAACTGTACGTAGAAGAACAGCAATACACGACATGTGGTTCTCTCTCGGCTCGCGACAAGCGATTCTGTGCCCATTTCAGTGATTTACTCCACCTTTTTACTCCAACTACCTTCTTCTATCACCATCTTTCTTTTTGTATGTGAGAGAGAAAACAACGTCGCTCAAGCTTTTATTCTCTTTCTAAATTCTTGATACTCTTCGAACGACATGAGCAGTCTATACTTATTATGTCTATGGTTGTAACCAATATTTGTCAATTGCGGAACAGCGCAGAGTTTGCTGGTTGCTTTGAGCCGGTTGTAACGTATCATTTATCAAGTGACAATTTCCACGAATAATCGATCAATTTACGCATTTTATTTCCGGTATTGCGGTAATGAATCTGTACACTGCACGAATACATGTGTCATTGTCAAACAATTCCAGATTTATATGGTGCAAGTAAACGTTTTCGTAATATGACATGATATGTGACTGCACTATGACAGAGACCAGTAATAATCAAGATGATGCGTTGGATTTTGATAAGAATATCGTGAAAAGTACGCTAGACGATGAGCTTCCTGATAATTTACAGAAGGTAATTAAATAGAATTCAATTGTTATTCAAGTTGTAATGCTAAACTATTTCTCATCACATAACACACTGTGATAGTACAAACATTTACTATTAAATATTTTATACATGCGCTGATATTTGCAGATAGTATCTGTTAAAACAGAAGATAGCATATTAAGAGCAGTACTAGAGGACATTAAATATGCTACAAGATCAAATACTCAAACAGTACACGCAACACAAAAGAATAGTACAGAATTGAATGTGGAAGAAAATGAAAAAATTAATAAAGAAAAGGATCATAAAACAGAATTGCAAAAACAGATTGAAATTGGAGAGATTACTCCCTTTGAAGCGATATTGAAGCAATCTGTTTTGGAACAACAAAAAAAGTATACATTCAAATAAAGTTTAATTTCAATTTTAGTATTAAGTTTTAATATTAAACTTAACTTGACACAATGCTTTAACTTTAATATTTTAACAGAAGAATCTTTATTTTAATTTGTTCATTAAAATCGATGACTAACAGATTTAACTTATTAAATAAAAATTTAATTTTTCCAAATTTATTTTAATTAAATTTACCTTTTATTGAGTAAAAACTTAATCTTTATAGAAATAAACAGTTTATTATATTTTGTGTTATCAGGGTTGTCAATAACAGCTCTCAATTATTAGATCTTGAAAAGTATTTTAAACAACAAGCTACTCTTGCCGAACAAAAAAAAAAATTGAAAAAAGTATCCAAGACACTTTGTAACAAGGATCATTCAGTGCCAGCCAAGAAAGCAAAATTATGTATCACAAGGACAAGTGGAAATCTAAAAATTAACGCATAATAAGAATACCAAAAATAATACTTTGCAAACTACAGTTGAAGCAGGCACATCAAACGCAGCAAATAAAATTGCAGACGATAGTTCAGGAAGCGAATATATTCCCAGTGATGATGAAGTCAATTCCGGTAATATTAATATCTGATGTATGCGTGGATAAACTCAAAACGTACATATAATAATAACAAAAAAATATTTTGCAGATGTGGAAGACAAAGCATTGCTTAAAAAAAGAAGAGTCTCGGCTAAATCAGAATATATACGCACAAAGAGAAGTGTGTATTGCAATAATAATTTGTGGGATAATGACATTATTATTAATTTTCTTTTTTAATTTTCCCAGCTCAAGATGATGCAGACAATCAAAGATATAAACAGTGGATGGAATCAAATGAATATCCCAAAGATGAAAAAATGCATAAAATTGATGATATATTCAAAGTGCCCCAAAGTATTTGGGAAAAGTTGTACAGGTAAACTGATAAAAATTGAGAAATTTTGATATCTGTTGAAAACTGTTGTAATTATTCTTATCAATCAGTTTTTTATATTTATATTAATTCGAATCAATTACGTGATTAGGTTAATGATTTCTTAACAATTTATTTCTTTGTAACAAAGTATAAATTTTCTTCACGCAGGTATCAAAAGGTCGCTGTTCAGTGGCTCTGGGAATTACACAGTCGTAGATTGGGCGGTCTGCTGGGCGATGAGATGGGATTGGGAAAAACTGTGCAAGTTATCGCGTTTCTCGCCGGTTTGGATTGCAGCGAATTGCTCTCTAATAATGGAAGGTATTGAACATATTTTTTGCCAGAATATATTTTTTCGTTAAGAATCTACAAATGTAGAATATAATTCTTGAAAAAGAGTGAGAAAGTTTATTTTATTTCTATTATAATTCTATATTTATGGATTAATTCTGTGATTAGATTAATATGCTTTCTTAGCAATTTATTTCTCTATAACAAAATACGAGTGAAAGTTTATTTTATTTTTATTGTTATGTCTATATTATGAACATATTAATGCGTTTGAAAAATAAACATATATGTGCACACAATTGGCAGATTTAGAGGATTGGGCCCAACTATAATAGTGTGCCCTGCCACTTTAATGGAGCAGTGGGTGAAACATTTTCACGAATGGTGGCCTTTCGTCAGAGTTATCATGCTTCACCATTCTGGTGGCTATAGTGGTAAGTGTCAGTACTAAGATTAATCTAATTTGTGGCACTGCAATTATCACAATATAAAAAAGAGGAATAATTTCAATTTTATTTCTTTTATATATTTATTATTGATTATTGTTAATTTATTGCGTTTATTGTACATTTATTATATAAAATGAGTAATAGTCTTTTGCAAAAGGATGCAAATGTATTGGCATTTCACTTGTGTCAATTAAATTGCATCACTTTAGCATAGGCGTTTATTTAATTATATCCACTTTTATTAATTAGCCGTTAATTATAAATATTTTCTAGGCGATCCAAAAAATCTGATCGAATCTCTGCAAACTGGCGGAATACTCATCACTTCTTACAATGGTGTCCTCAGGCACAAAGATTTGCTTGTATCCAGTCAATGGCACTACGTCATTCTTGACGAAGGACACAAGATTCGCAATCCGCAAGCAAAAGTAAACGGCAAATATTATTTACAATTTTTCAAATATTTGTAAAAAAATGTATGCAAATGCCAATGTCTTCGCGACACAATTGTGCTGATAAAATAAAAAGAAGTGATTGCCATTTCATGATAAACGAGCAAATGATTCTTTTGCAGGTGAGTCAAGCTGTAAAACGATTTTCGACACCGCATCGACTGTTGCTGACTGGTAGTCCGATGCAGAATTCCTTGAAGGAATTGTGGTCCCTGTTTGACTTTATTCTACCTGGCAAACTGGGCACTCTGCCCGTATTTCTGGAACATTGCGCAGTTCCCATAATGCGCGGCGGCTACACGAATGCCACGCCGCTGCAGGAGGCCACCGCGCTCCAGGTCGCCACTATGTTGAAGGACACCATCACGCCGTACATGCTTCGAAGAACGAAGACCGACGTAAAGCATCATCTCACGCTGCCAGAGAAAAATGAGCAGGTTATTTTTAGTTTTCCAAATCCACAATATCACTTTTGGTTGTTCAACCTATCTTGTCCACTGTTTAGAATAAATTTAGAATCGAATGAATAAATAATATTCAGAGCAAATGTTTTTTTTTTCAGGTATTATTCTGCAGCTTAACGGATGAGCAAAAGAAGCTTTATAAAAAGTATCTGTGCTCCGAGGACGTATGTTTTATCCTGCACGAGAAGAATAATAATCATGACAGAGGAAGATACAGAGCAAGATTTCTTATCGCACTGTCAGTGCTGAGGAAGATATGCAATCACCCGGACTTGTTTTTATACACTAGAGAACTCGTGAGAACACCTGTTTACTCTAATAACGACAATTGATTTATTTACAAAAATACAAATCTTTGTTTTATTGAAGGACTCGGATGAAGATGTCGATTTGTCCGAGGACCAATTGGAGAGATTCGGCCACTGGAAGCGCGCTGGAAAAATGACTGTCGTTCGATCTCTCTTAAAAATCTGGCAGAAACAAAAACATAGAGTGTTACTTTTTACTCAGGGAAGGCAGGTAAGTGATATTTTTAGAACGTTTGCGTACGAAGAGACATTTGCCGAATTTCGATAGTTTCAGTAACACAGAATGTATTTAAAGAAGACGTCTTTTAAACTGTCAATGTGTTGTGTATCTTATGTATTGATGTTTTACATAAGCAATGTAGATGTAAAATATTAAAATTAACATGATTCTTAAGAACGACATAATTCTTTTACAAAAATTTCAATATTTGCGATTCTGTAAACTTTTATTCGTTAGAAAATTATTGTCATTATTATTCAAGAATTGTTAAAGCAAAAAAGAACATGGTTTCTTTCTGCGTACAGATGATGCACATTTTGGAATCTCTTTTGCAACGCGAGGGATATAATTATTTGAGAATGGACGGGACGACAGCGATGTCACAACGGCAGCAAACAATTCACAAGTTTAACAATGTACGTGTTAACTGAAAGACTTAATAGTGAAAAATAACTTTCTCGATAAACTTTCTTTCTTTTTTGTTCTAAGGATTCGTCGTATTTCGTGTTCCTGCTAACAACGCGTGTAGGAGGCCTGGGAGTGAATCTTACCGGTGCGAATCGAGTGATTATTTACGATCCTGATTGGAATCCAGCTACAGACGCTCAAGCAAGAGAGCGTGCGTGGCGAATAGGACAGAATAAACAAGTCACCGTTTACAGATTAATTACAGCTGGCACGATCGAGGAGAAGGTTGGCAAACTATCGTATTCTGTGAATTCTGTCGATGAAAATATATGCAGACTATCGTTTTATTACATTATTTTACATAAGATCACTACATTCCGTGCGATCTGTTTTCTCTTTCCAGATGTATCACAGACAGATCTTCAAGTTACTTCTGTCAAACAAAGTTCTCGATGAACCGCATCAACGCCGATTGTTCAAAACGACGGATTTGGTGGAACTGTTCAATCTGAATGAGCCGATAGACGGCGAGTCTTCCGAGTCTGATCGCTTGTTTAGGGAATCCAAGCTGCGTCCAGCGTCCAGCGGCTTTTCTCTCAGTAAAATCGAGGAAATGAGGAAATTAGCCTCGACTCTCAGCAAGAAAATAAGCGCCGCTGTAAAGTCAACGCACAGTGGAAGTGAAGATGCGAACAGCCGTGTTTGCGAAAGTGTGCACGACGAGCAAAATAACAATTCGAAACGCATTCAAGTCCTTGTTGCGAAAAATGATTTGTCTGATGATCAAGCGAACTTGTCCTGCGATCAAATCAACACGCAGGAGTCTCCAAGCAGCCGTAACGAAGACTCAAATACGAATTCGGGTGCAGATGTTCGGAAAAACAGCAGTGTTACAGATAACAAAACAGAGACTGCGTCTGAAAAAGACGATTATGAACAAGATGTAGTTCCAATGAGATCTACAAATGATAATTCCGTGGAACGAAAACGTGAATCTCTTTCAAGTATCAGCAATAAAGTCACACCATCGTCTGTTCACAAACGCAAGAAGCATAATAAGGATTCAAGCAGAAAAAATGTTTCTGCGATGTTCGAGGGAGAACGCGTCTCTTGTCTGATCGGTCGTCGCCTGGGACGTTCTCGTGAGAGAGAAGAATCGGTTTCGACCGCGGATGACGATTATGTGTTGAGGAAACTGTTCGCCAAATCAAGTAATTAACGTTTAGATTTAATATTGATTTATTTATTAAATCCCATTTATAATTTTTATCTTTATAATACTTTAAGTACAAAAAGAATCAATCCAACTTAGTGGAATGCTTCAATATTAACCGATTTAGCAAAACACATATTTTATCGATTTAGTATGTAAGCTAATATATAAATTCTATTTTTTTTTAAATTTTATAGTTAATATTTAAAAGTAACAATTACAATTATAATACATTTATTAAAGTCTATTTTACATATATACGTTCATATACATACATTTTGTATTTTATGTTTCAGCTGTCAGCTCAGCCTTTCAACACGAAGCAGTATTATCGAATGTCCGTCATAATGATGATAATGAAAATACAATGCAACGTTTCGTACGGGAATCGGCGCAAGAGAGCATGAACTTTATTCGTAAGTCAGGAAGATCTTGTTGGAGACCAGCTTAAGATAGATAATCAATTTAGATAATTTTTTTGCGCATGTGTTCTTTTTTTTATTAATTTGTTTTGTATATTATAGCAGAATAGAGTATAAATTTTTGCATTCCAAAGATAAGTTGCAAAAGAAAATCGTAAATATATGATATAGAAATTTATAAGTTTTTTTTTTTACGGAACAACATAAATGTTGACAATTTTAACAAATTTCACACTTGCAAGAAAAGTGACACAGGTCGAAATTTTTCGAATTTTGTTTTACGTGCAGATTGTGTTTTAAATTCATAATATTGTTAATAATAGGAAACATTATTATTAACGCAACTCTTGTCACTTTTCTTGCGAGTGTACGATATATGTTGTAATATACAATAAAAAACAAAAATGCATTATTTCGATAAGAAACTATTTTTCATAATATGTAGCTTGTAGATATATTAATTATAACATAAATGATCTATTTTGATATATAGCGTATGTAATTTATTTCAAATAAAATTAAGAAAAATAATTTAATCTTGCCTTTGTTATATTTTTAATTTATATCATATCATTTTACAAAATACGCATGTGAATCGTAAAAATATATCTATATGAAATATTGCATGTAAGAAATAGTGCAATATTCATTTTCTCAATCATTACACACGGATATTTTGTACAAAAAAATAAGGAAAAAACAGATACTTAAAACAAAATTACACTACAAAAGAAAAAAAAGAGTCTGTCGACAACAGACATCACAATATCCAATTTCGCCAAATTGCGTATATCAATAACGTAACAAAAATCATATTGTAATCGTATTAGTGCCGCAAAAATGTATGGAGATCAGGGCCGGACCTGCCTAACGGATCTTCCGGAAACATAACACGATCCCCGACGAAGGTTGGCGTCAATAAACGATTTTCAATCGTGTCACGCCATTCTGGTCTCTCCTGGTACAAATCTCTATATTGATCGGCGGAAATTACTATTCCGTTGCACAACGTCGCGTATTCCAAAATATATCTGTAACGATTTACATTTTTTTTTTTTAATGTAAAAAGATATTGATTAGATTAAGATGGGATTATATTATTTTATTTTACAAAGTGCTTTTACAAGTGTAAATGTTGAGATTAATGATTTATATTTCTGCAAAAGGATGCGGTTGCGTGATGAGTTTATCATACGTCAATGTGTTATGAAAAATGGGACAAGTGATGAAAATTCTACAGGAATTATTTCCATATTTTATGCGTACAATATGAAAACAATATAAAATATATATTCTATTTATGTGTAATAAAAATAGCGATTACCTATCGTCGTAAGGAGTAATTTGTCTGCCGAGGATCTTACGACTAGGTGTAAAAACGACGACGCCTTTTTCGTACATCTCCTCAAGAAATGAATATCTTTTTCTCCGAATGTGCAGTGGTAAAAAAACTTTCACAATATGGCCTCTTGTCATAAAATAATCTACTACTAATTGGATACCCTTTTCAGCAAATTCTTTGTGATGCGTGTATCTACAATAAAAGTGAACATTCGTTATCATGCGGTCACAATTTTGTTTTAAGAAAATCCATCATTGATTACGCATGCGTAATAAAAAAGAAATCGAATCGTACGCCATCGCCACATTGCTACCATCAACAACTATTTCTCTTAATTTATTTAAAGTTGAAATTGCATTTTGAGTTGAACTTGAAGCCAGATTCCGAACTAAACTTGTAGCTGAACTTGAAACTTGACTCAAAGCTGGACACTTTTTGTTTTTCTTTGTCTCTTTTTTGTGAGATTGTACTTTTGTCAACTTGATATTTGAATCTATATCATTGTAGTGTTGCTTTGTTCTTTGGCGTTGTTTGACATCTTTAGATGTCACTTGCATGACAAATGGATTATGCGCCATTGCAGCATTGTCATTTTTGTGATACAATTTTCGCCTTTTGTTTGCAGATTTCATCTTCAAACGATTGAGATTTTTGAAGTCTGGTTTTGTATCTATTACAAAACTCGTTTCGTTATTCATCTTGTTGCATTTACGTTTTTTGAATGTATTTTTCTTCCCTTTATTATTAGTTTTTAAACTTGACCACAGTTCAACTATATCATCCTCCATTTGCGGTGCTAAATATCACAAAACAGTATTATTCCAGAAAGGAATTAAGTTAAATAAGTTCTTCTATCAAAATTTTAACAAAAGCAAGTAAAGAGTTCACCTATGTTTTCTCCATTGCTTGAAGATTGAATGGATTCATGCATATCCGCCGAGTGGCCGTCAGATAAATCGTTATTTATTAATATTATCGATGATCTATTCTTTTTCTTATTCAGAGAACTTCGCAACTTTTTCTTCTGCGATATTTGCTGCAGAGGTAAGGATGGCTTTGAGCCGCATTCGATTATTGAAACATCTTGGTCATCTCTATTACTTGTTTCCTCGTCTACCATCGCTTGTTCAACTGTGTTATTTAGAACAATTACACTATTGGATAAAAGAGATTCTCTATTTGCAGCTGTAACATTTTGCTCACTTAATTTCTGCAACATTCCACGTGTCAATCTTTTTTTTCCATCATCCAGAAAAACATTTATAAAGTCCCAAGATGGCTCCAGGCTAGTAATGAAGTAAGTTTTTAGCATCAGTTTTTAACATCACTTAATATTAATTTAATCGTTTTATTTTTTTATTATTACCTTTCCTTAAAACCATTTGTCGCGTTTTCAGAACACCTTAAATCTTTGATACTTTGCTTCCTCTTTCTCTTGGCAGATTGATTATCACTCATCATAGGCAAGAATTCTGTATGACATAAATATACATATAAGATAATAATCAAGCTTTCAAGATATCAAAAGTTGTATTACAGATAACTCTGGCACAATACGGTATCGTATCTTGACAACAGAGTTTCGATAAAACGATTTGAAAATTTCAAACTCTTTCATAATATTACGAATTTTTTAAATAGTTTACATTTTTTTAGAGAAAAAGTCTGTCTTCTTATACTTCGAGGCAAAATCTCAACTTTTGTATTTACGATATATACAGCATATAACAAGTTTTATCGAATAATCATTGTTTGACACAGTATGAATTTTCGTGCACTAGGTTATCTGTACTTAAATCTGACAAATATCTTAAATATTGATCAAAATACAGTGTATTCTTATCGAGCATATATGCATAATGCGTAGTAATCGGCAGTATAATAGTGAAACGCTACTAATCGCGATGAACGTCTGTACCATCCAATTCCGCTACAAATCACTCCAAACATCGTGTAAGATATTCTCGGTAAAAGAGCGGACGATCAGATTCGCGCAAGATAACAGAGAGGGCGTTGGAATCGCATGCCGAAGTTCGCGTCGCGACGCTTGAGGGCGCCGACGGCGTGACTCGATAAAAGAGCGAGGCGCGCCGGACGGGCGGTGCTCCGTGAAGCGTGACGGGCAACGTTGATGATACTTTGTGACGGACGGTTGATGTGGGTCGGCGGATCGCGATGAATTTGACAGTAGCAGCGGCCGACATCGAGTGACGCGACGCGTCTATGTCGCGTAGTCGAAGTCGCCGCGAGGAACGAAAGACACAAGGCCGATCGATCGACGAGAGATATGCGGTCCACGAGAGTCTCATAAGTACACTTTGCCAGGCGTTCACGCGCTCGCCTTATTATGGCAGAATGGACGAACGTAAATTGCTGCCGTTGCTGATACTCTTCTTGACAGGTAAGGATTCCGCCACAAGTGATTACCGCGAGAGAGAGAGAGAGAGAGAAAGAGATAGGGAGAGGGTTGACGGGAGGGGGAAGAAGAGAGACAGAGACAGAGACAGACGTGCATCCACCGAGGAACAATGCAGCTGCGATCCATATCTAACGATCATGCGATTCCTAGCCGGTTATGGAACGCGCCGATCGTTACGATTCAGGGTCGAGTTATGTAAAAAGACTATCCTCTTTTTGCTATCGCCACCTGCGTTACTGCCGTCACTGCTGCATAATAGCGATGGCAAAATATGCATAATCTGATCTTCAACTGGCAACGTCGTCAGTTTTTATAACCTGTAATAAGACTAAAACAGAAATCTCTTGTAGACAATTATTCTCAATTTATTTTTTCTTCCTTTAAACAAGAACCGTGAAGTTATGTGCAAGAGAGCACACACGGTCACAGGAATGCCTTAACACATGAACTTGCACGAGTGTGAAGTTCGCAAGCCAATTCCAATGTGTCTTGACACTCGTTGACAAATTCATGTGTTAACATATGGTTGACGGCACGTTAAATACACAATAATAAAAAAAAAAAAAAAACAAATCTCAAGTTATAATATAATTTGTTAATATATTTTGCCTTCAATTGTATTTTTATTACTCTTCTTTTGAGTTTTGCTGCCTTGAACTTGTGTGTTCATTTTTATAGAGTGCAATAGAATAATGAATTTGTTTATCATATCTTTATTCTCGCTGTTTGCACAATTGATTCTAAGGAATCAATACATTTATCTGTCTATCTATCAAATTATTTCTAGAAGATGTAATGAATTTGTTTGTCCGCTTATTTTTATTCTTATCATCTATACAATTGATTCTGGCGCAATAGCATATATAGTTGTGTACAATCCTTCAAGCTTACCAGTCAAGTTTTTGTCGCTCTTAAAACATTTGTTGCATTCATATAATATAAACAACTTGACGATGAAAATAAGCTAAAAGGCAATTTATGAACTTGCAGGATGGCAGGAAGCAGTGTATGCCGTCGTACCAATACAATACATTACCGTAGACGTTGGTAAAGGCCTGAAATTGGCCTGCGATGACGAGAATGCTCTTACGTATTCCGAGGAGTCGAATATCAGAGTGATGTGGGTGAGAGAAGGGCGAGAAGATGGGCAGGTTGAGCGACTGAAAATCAAGCCAAACGGCATGCTGGAATTGTTGAACGTCAGCACAAACGATGCCGGCAATTATTCGTGCACCATGGACGATCACGATGTTGTGAAAGCTAGGATCAATGTGGAAGTCAAAAGTGCGTTGTAGCAGCCACTTAAGTATTATATAGAATGATTTGTAACTATAATCAGCATGTGAAAAACTTGAGTATCAGCGTTTTCGTTTTTTAAATATACTAAAAAATTTGGAAACAAATGTGTGAATTATTCGAAAAATTTATATGAAAGTATGCCATTTTAAGCGTTCAGAGTTAAGGTTTTGAAAATCTTATTCGGCAAATCTTGAAATAAGAATCACTCGTATATTGAAAAATGAAATTGTGGACCTTAGCGTAATAACAGTTCTTTTTCTCGCCTCAGCTCCTCCTCCTGCTTTGCACAATGTATGGGTCAAGCCATCCACGATATTGGCCAACATACTCTGGGAAGTGGCTGGTACCGGCGGATACCCTATTATAGACTTCACTGCCGAATATCGTTTGAAACCAGTCGCAGGCGAAGAACCAGAAGAGTGGAAACCCATTATCCCAACGCACATTCCTCCAAATTCTGTAAGTATCTGTAAATCTCACGACTGTAACAGAAAGCAGGGATAAAAGAAAAACAACGGAACATAACTTGATAACATTTGTTACTTGTTACATTTTATACGTTATAATAATATAAAGAGAGATAGATTATTTTCTAATAATGCATCACGGGAGTGTAGACTTTTAACATCATAATGTTATCAAATTATTCCACGTAGAAGGCGACTAATCGAACTGAAACTAATGATTGTTTCCTTGCCTTGAAGAGACAAATAGATGTGTACCATTTGGTGCCAAACACTACGTACTCGTTTCGAGTATGGGCAACCAATCAGTTGGGAAAAGGAGAGATCGTGGAGGTCGAGGGTCATACACATCACAGCGTAGAGGAATTGGGTATTTTTTGTTGCAATTGCTACTGTAAAGTCATATCGCGCTTGTAAATAGAGATCTATCGCTGAGATTAAGTAAAGCTCGAAACTTTTGCATACAGCATTGCGAAACTATCGCCGCAAGTTACAAAAATAAGGACTAACCTAAAAGATATGTCGCTTTGAATCGGAGCATTCATAATTTTCGATCGAAAGCTAAAGTCTGAAATTTTTCAAAGCAAGAATCCGTAATTTTAGCGCGCGGCAGTAGTTTCGCGATATTCTATGTATATATATATATATTTATTAAACATTTCCTGTACAGCATCTAAGCAACAGCGTCTAACGCGACTCTATTATGCGACCTAACTAATTTTCAGAGCTCGCCCGACACCTTTTAGCCGGTGTAGAGAATTTCGATACGCGCGTCTGGGTGGCAGCCGTAGGTATTGTGATGGGCACACTTATGATTCTTGGTTTAGGTACTTGTTACCTACTGTATCGCGAGTGCAAGGCACCCTGTAAGCATCCTATCTGATAACCGTACCGTAAGAGCTTCCGCTTCTACTCTGTCTCTTTACTGCTGCTACTACTACTTCTTTCCGCTGGTGATGATGATGGCATTCATGGCCTCTCTAAGAAGCACGATTTTCTAAAAGATTGTTCTCCCTCCATAGAAGCATTCGCGCAAGTTAGCTGAAGAACGTACACCACTCACATGACAGAACAATAGGAACGTTAGCATCTCCTAGCCAATTAGCTGACTTATCTATGACTCCTGATCTTTAGCTTCTCTCTATTACGCGACAGCAGCCATGTTCTTCCGAATTATCAGTACTTTTTTATAATATCTCATTTCTATGTAATGTACTCTTGAGCACCTCGCAAATCTCGGTTCAGCATACATTTACCGACACGAGCATTCAACAGACCGATTCTCATCCCATGAGTTCTATTAACACGCCACTTCACCAGATCGTCGCACCGTCACACACTAAACGAGCACTCAATTAACCCATTAATTAACTCATTTTTATCTCTTACGATATATGGCACTCATTGGAATGAAATCTCGAAACTTTTCTCGCCGCAGATTTACCTGTCTGGTTACTGATTCTCTTTGAATATAAATATCTCTCCCCTTGTTATTCCGATTAGATGTTAATCACACTGTATAATGTTAATGAGCTTGCCGATAATAATTTAGTGCGACGATTAGTATTATGATAGTCATAGAGAGCATTATGGTCTAGATAAGAGAACGAAATGGTTACAGTAACCGATAAGGTCTGATCTCTGGCGTTATCGAGGTAGGTGAAAGGCAGCACGTTTCGTTGGTCAGGCAAACGGTGTTTCGATTGGCAGAATCGCATTGTTGGATTAACAAAATTGTGAAATGTCCGAAGTAACTCGGGGAGGGGGGGAAAAAAAATATTGTGATTAACCAAATTCCGTGATTATACGAATCGATACCTGACAATGAAAGGCCGGTGAAGGGAGAGGGTAGAAGCTAATGAGGTCCGTGGCCCAGACCAATGAAGATTAATCTCCGTTCCGAAATTGCAGCGCAGCTGGAGGAGCAGGAGGTGATTGAGCTCGTGCCTAACATCATTCTAAATCCGGGATTTTTCGACGAGCGCACCGAGCACGTGCCGCAGGACGAGAACTTCAACAATCAAACGACCACGCGTCTCAACAACAACAGCGTTGTGCAACCTAGACGGGTTTAGCGTTTTTTGTTCATCGTAGTCACGCTCCGCTCTGAAGTCAGTCGATTGGACGCAGTTTTTCCACGTACGAACGAAGTAAGTAAAGCGAAGTTTTATCGGGAAGGCCTTGAGTTTGTCTGAAAAAAAAAAATGATCGACCGCGAGTTGATGGATTGTAAAGCGCAAGGTTATCGGCGATCATCGAGAATCTACCTTGAATCTTCGGACATTTTCTCAAGTCCATCAGTTGCTTCGAGTGTCCCTGTTAGTTTCCTTGACTTTTCTATTAGGGATCGAATGAAGGAATCGGACTTATTCTAAAAAAAAATTTGACACTTCTCAAACAAAAAATCACTATTATTCTTGGAAAATTTACAAATGAAAAATTCTAAAAAGAAAATTTAAATAAAATTTTTATATGCAGTAATAGAACGATGTAATTTAGATAGATTAACACTTATTTCAAAGAGACATCTCTCGTCCGTGTGTGAAACAAATGATAAAAATCGGATGCAAAATGAGATTTGTCGAAGTAGAGGGAATTGGGGGGAAAAAAAGGGCTCCGTATTTTCATTCGATTCCTGATGTCACGACAATGAAGTGTTCAAAATCAGAATGTAAGACTCGAATCAGATTTCTTCGCGAGAAGTAATAGACTTTTTGGAGATGTTTTACTGCAGGGGAGGGGTTTTCTGTCTCTCGTATAGTTTCTCAAAATGACACATTCAATGATTGCTCAGTGATCGAGCTTAAAGGGAGCGGACTCCTGTGAGCTAAAGAGAATCGTAGTAAGACTGTAATCTTAAGAGTATAATTTTGCGAAAGAACTTCGAAGAATTACGTAATAATTGACGGACGATATTGTCTAAAAAGTATATATTTTGCACTTCTTTACTTTTTCAAAAAAGTAACGTAATGTGAATAGTATATGAGTGTCGAGATTTCTTTTAAGATGCTCGTTTGTTGTTTAAGTGGTCGTATATGCGCGTATATCATGTAATGAATTTACTGCCGTTTTAAGGTGTGCACAAGTCGTTGAAAGTTCCTTTTTAAGAATCTTCGCAAATTAATCTTTTTTTTATATATATATATATATATATATATATATATATATATATATATATATATAG